CAAATAGCCTATGACTCAGTTGGTTGGGCATTGTTCTGCAAATCAAAAGGTCACTGTTTGATTCCCAGTCAGGGCTTGATTCCTGGTCAGGGAACCAACAAGGGTTTCAGGTTCAGTCCCCAGTCAGGGCACATACGAGAGACAACCCATCAATGTTTCTCTCTCACATTGATATTACTCTCTCTCTCTTTCCTTCTCTCCCTTCCCCTCTATCTAAAAAAATAATAATAAATAAAATCTTTTAAAAAGTAAATAAATAAACTAGGTCTAATAGACAACAGTAGAATTTCATCTAACAACAGCAGAATGCACAGTTTCCAGGAATGGAATAAAATTAGAAATAAATATTTTGGAGATTGACAATGTAGAAACTAAGTAAGATACTAAGTAACAATGTGTCATAGAAGAAATCACAACAGAAATTACAAAGTACCCTGAAATGCATGAAAATAAAAACATACCAAACTTATAGAATGAAGGGAGAGTAGTGTTTTGAGGAAAATTTAGACCTACAAATGCCTACATTAAAAACAATATCAAATCAATCTTAATCTTCTACCTTAAGACACTGCAAATAGAAGGGCAAAGTAAAACCAAAAAAGAAGTGAAAAATAATAAAGAGCATAAATTCATATAATAGAGTAAAATGAAAAAATCTACTAAACTAAAATAGGTTCTGTTAAACTGAGGCATATTAAAATTTTTTCTCAAGAGTTCATTTGAACCAATTCTGATTTGAATTCTACAGTGCCAAACAAAGGTGATTAAGAGCCCTCCAGTGATACAAGCAGGAGGCAAAGTTTTTATAGAGAAGATGCTGAAGCAAAGCAAAGAAATGATTTGACTGGTTATAGCTTAGGCCATTGCCTTATTTGGGCAAGACTAATTGGCTGTTGGTGATTGGTTGTTAAGTTTCACTTTCCCAGACTTGAGCATATTGACTCTGGTTTAGGTTTTAGTTTGCTTAAATAAGCTACCAAAGGCATTAGAACCACCTGAGTCTAATGGCCTCTTTGTTTAAAGACTCTTAACAATTCTTTGAAAAGAATTAATAAAATTAAATAACTTTATCTAACTTGATCAAGAAATGAGGAGAGAAGGCTAAAATTACAAAAAACAGGAATGGAACAGGGACAACACTACTGATGTTACAGAAAAAAATTGATTATATGGAAATACTATAAACAATAAATACCAAGAGATTAGACAATCTAGATAAAATGGACAAATTCTGGAAAATACTGAAACTACCAAAATTGATTCAGGAAAAAAAAACAAACAGAAAATCTGAGTAGTCTATAACAAGTAAAGACATTGACCTAATAATCAAAAAATCTACTCAAAAGAGAAGTCCAGGCCCAAATAGTTTGATTCTGAAATCTCCCAAATGTTTAAATATGAATTAACAACAATCATACACAAATTGTATTACAGCAAACCAGAAGAGGGAACATTTCCTATGTCATTCATGAAGCTAGTATTACTTAAAAACCACACAAAGTGAGGAAACAGAACTACAGACCAATATATCTTCTGTATACTGATGCAACCATCCTCAACAAAATACTAGCAAACCAAATCTAGCAATATATAAATCTATTACACGAAATGACCAAGTGGTATTTACCCAGATAATTCAAGATTAATACAATATCTAAAAATCAATGAATAAAATATACTATATCAGTAGAATAATGGACAAACTGTATAATGATCTCAATAGAGGAAGAAACAGCACTTGCCAAAATTTAACACCCTCATGATAAAGACACCTAATAAACTAAGGATAGGAGGTATCCTTAGTTTAACTGCAAAACAACTACAGCTAACCTCATACTTGATGGTAAAAGATTGAACAAAACACAAATGTCTTCTCTCACTCTTGTTATTCCACATTTTATTGCAGATTCTAACCAGGTCAATTAGGCAAAAAAAAGAAATAAAAGACATCAGATTAAAGAGAAAGAAGCAAAATTATCTCTATTTGCAAATGGCATGATCTTGTCATGCCGTTTTGTAGATGTCACTACATCTATAGAACATCCTAAGAAATCCACCAGGATAGGATTAAAATTAATAAGCATGTCTAATAGGTTGCAGGATACAAGATCAGTATACAAAAAATTGTTTTTCATATACTTTAATAAATAATCTGAAAATGAAATTAATATAGCAATTCCACTTAATTGTATCATTATTACCATCCAAAAGAATAAAATGCTTAAGAATAAGTCTAACAAAAGAAACATAATATTTGTACTCTGAAAAACTATAAAAATTGTTTAAATAAATTTTAAAAATACCTAATTAAATGTACATGTATATGAACTGGAAGACTTAATATTAAGATGCCAATATTCCCTAAATTGACCTACAGATTCAACACAATCCCTACCAAAATCCAGCTGATTTCCTTTCAGAAATTGACAAACATCATAAAAATTTGTAAATAAGTACAAGGCACCCAAAATAGTCAGAAAATTTTTCAAAAAATAAATTTTTTAAAGTTAAAGGGCTCACATTTCCTAATGTCAAAACTTACTACCAAGCTACAGCAACCAAATGTACAGTGAATGTTCACAGAAGCATTATTCACAACAGCAAAAAAAGTGAAAACAATTCTAAATGTCCATCAATTGATAAATGGACAAAGATGTAGAATATCCACACAATGGAATATTATTCTACAATATAAAGGACCTAAGAATTGATATATGCTATAACATGAATAACTCTGAAACCATGCTAAGTGAAAGAAACCAATCATGAAAAAACACATATTAGATGGAAGGGCATGATGGGGGCAAAGGGGGGAGGCTTTTCAGGAATAACTATAAAGAACACAGGGACAAAACCAAGGGAGGGTGGAAATTGGCAGGGGGGAGGTGGAGATGGCTGGGGTGAGGGGAGGGAGAGGAAAGGGAGACAACTATACTTAAACAACAATAAAATTTTGAAAATAGGAAAAAAAAAGAATATTTCAGAATAGGAAACTCTACAGAAACACAAAGTACACTAGTGCGTTAGTGGTTGCTCAGGACCAGGGGAGGATGAGGAGGCTGGAGGTAAATGAGGAGTGATTACTAACGGGTACAGGTTTCTCTCTGGGGTGATGAAAAATGTTCTGAAATTAGATATTGGTGATGATTGTACAATTCCAAATATGCTAAATATCATGACTTTTACCCTCTAAACGGCATGCTATATAAATTGCATTGCAACAAAGCTATTTTTTTATGATCAAATTCTCTTGAAAATTTTCAGCACACTCTTGAAAGTCCAAAAACAGACTCAAAGAAATAGAGAAACATCTGTTTTTATTAGTAAGACTAATCAACTTAAAAAAAATGCCAGTCAGTTCTCCTCTTTGTTTATGCATAAATGTGAAAATACTAAATTAATTTTAAGTGGTAGTATGTTAAAAGGTAAGCAAACAAGAATACCAATAAGCACTGAAAAAGAGCAGCAATGAAGGAAACTAGCTCTACTAGATAAAACATACAATAAATGCGTTTAATTAAAACAGAGGTACTGGTGGACAAATTGGTAAAAGTGTTCTGTTGTTAGATCAACAAATGAAACAGAAATATACCCAACAACAAATGGAAATTAGAGAGATATCCAAATACAAAAGCAAATATCATAAAAAATCAAAATTGTAGGGAAAGGTAAAAGATAAAACCTGTAAAAAATGTTTAGTCATTGTATATAAACAAACCTTAATAAATGAAGCTGTAACTACTGATAGACATTATGAAAAAAAGATAAAAGAGTAAGAAAAGCATTTCTGATTCAAAAGTTCATAAATTCAACTACATTTTTAAAAAATGCTATGCAAAACACACAATAAACAAGGTCAAAAGCCAAGGGGAAAACTCAGAGAAACATACTTTTAATTTATACCACAAAATACTACTCTCCCTAATATATAAAGAACCTTTAAAACTTAAGAAAAGGACCAAAAAACAAAAATGAGCAGAAGTCATAGATAGATAATTCATAAAAATAAAGAATATTACCCTTAATATATAGAAAAATATTCAAATTTACTTATAATAAAAATGTAAGATAAAAGCACTCAAAATAGGAAAGCTTAAAATATACTGTATTCATGAGATTATAAAAAAAAATAACCACTCTCATTTAGCACAGGTAAAATTGGAAAATGATACAAACCCTATAGAAGGCAATTTGAAAAGCCAAAATCACATATGCCTTTACACTTGACCTAGCGATTGTACCTCTGGGAGTCTTTCCTAAAGATATACTTCCACCGAAACTATACAATATATGCACCAAAGTATTTTAACTACAGCATCATTTACCATAACAAAATATTGGAAACCACCCAGAAGTCCAACTACAGAGAAATGATTGAATAAACAATGGTAAATCTGCACACACAATGGAGTTATACAGATATAAAAACATAAATAAATAAGAAATGTCCATGAACATAAAGTGATTTCCAAGATATATTAAGAAAAAATACAAAATAATGTATATGATGTATATAATATACTATCCCCTGTATAAGAAGAAGGTAACGTAACAATACATACAAGCACCTGCTGATATTTATAAAATAAAACAGAAGGATACACCAAACACTCATGGAAACAGTTATCCAGGACGGGAGGTAGAAATGGCATGTAGGGGGTAGATATGGATGTCAGACTTCACTGAGTATTCCTTTTGATACAGTTCTTATTCTTGAATCACATGAGTGTTTTAAATATTCCAAACATAAAATAGCTTTACTTGACTATAAATGTTTTACTTAAGTTAAAACATAAATGTATATTAATTTGCCAATGTTTTGAACTAAGGTCAAGGCCTTTTCTTTTGACTGTGAGTCTGCTAATCAGAGTTTACCATTGCTTTGTTGTGCAAACCACACCCACAATGCAAGGTGTCCCTACAGAGTATCTCTGATGTTCAAGATTCTAAATATTTCCCCCATTTTCACCAATGATGACAGGGAAGAAAACAGGACTTACCAGATAGACAATATGCAGATCATTCTCTAAAACAAAGCCCTTCATTGCTCTTTGGAGGTCAGCAAAAATATCTAAAGTATCAGTTGGGGAAAGTGAGGAAGAAAGAGTTGCCGAACCAAGATGTGTTGGATGATACACCTTTCCTGGTTTGGGGGTGGGGTGGGGAAACAAAGGGTCAGATGTTAAAAATAAAACAACACAGTCTTTTTTTTTTCATTTAACCTTTTTTAAAAATTCAAATTGTTGTTCAAGTACAGTTTTTTGTCTTCTACTTCCATCCCAGCCCATCCCCCCAGCCCTCCCCACCTCTATCCCATTTCCACCCCACCTCTGTTTTTGTCCATGTGTCCTTTATACTTGTTCCTGTAAACCTTCCCCTTTTCCCCTGAAATTCCCTCCCCTCTCCCCTCAGGTCACTGTCAGCCTGTTCTCTATTTCAGTGTCTTTGGTTATATTTTGCTTGTTTGTTTGTTCTGTTGTTTAGGTCCCTGTTAAAGGTGAGATCATACGGTATTTGTCTTTCAACACCTGGCTTATTTCACTCAGTGTAATGCTTTCTAGTTCCATCCATGCTGTTGCAAAGGGTAGGAGCTCCTTTTTTCTTTCTGCTGCATAAAATTCCACTGTGTAAATGTACCATAATTTTTTGATTCATTCATTTACTGGCGGGCACCTGGGTTGCTTCCAGCTCTTGGCTATTGTAAATTGTGCTGCTATGAACATTGGGGTGCATAGGTTCTTTTGGATTGGGGTTTCAGGGTTATTAGGATATAATCCTAGCAGTGGAATTGCTGGGTCAAAAGGCAGATCCATTTTTAGTTTTCTTAGGAAATTCCATACTGTTTTCCACAGTGGTTGCACCAGTCTGCAATCCTACCAACAGTGCTCTGGGGTCCCCTTTTCTCCACAACCTCTCCAACACTTGTTGCTTGTTGCTTTGTTTATGATGGCCATTCTCACCAGTGTGAAGTAGTATCTCATTGTGGTTTTAACTTGCACCTCTCTGATAGCTAGTGATACTCAGCATCTTTTCAACAGGAGTCTCACAAACAATGGGAAGACAAAGAAACAATCCCCAAATGAAAGGAAAAGAGGAAGCCTCAGAGAGAATGCTAAATGAAATAGAGGCAACTCAACTATCAGATATTGAGTTCAAAGCAGTGGTTACCAGGAAGCTTAATAAACTCGCAGTGAATTACCAGAAACTACAGGGAAATTACAATGAACTCACTGCAAACTATATGAACATGAAAAAGGAAATAGAAACATTCAACAAGAGCCAAGAAAGAATGAAGAATACCATTTCTGAACCGATAGTAGAAGGAATCAAAAGCAGGATCAATGAAGCAGAAGGTCGGAACACAATGTCTTTCTGTATTCTGTAATTAGTCTTTTTGGCTTTGACAAATTTTATAAACAGAATCTTGTCCAAAGCCTGGATTATTTACAAGTGGGCTCTGTACTAACTGTCTGATGTTACTGAACACAACACTGACTTACTGAAAATGAGTTGATACACTCCTAGAAAAATAAATTTCCTTTTATACTGCTTGAAAAGCCAGTTTTCTTTCTTTTTCTTTATTGATTTTAGACAGAGTGGAAGCAAGAGATAGAGAGACATTAATTTGTTGTTCCACTTATTTATGCACCCATTTGGGCTTCTTGTATGTGCCCTGACCGAACCTTGGCATATCAGAGCGATGCTCAAACCAACTGAGCTACCCTGCCAGGGCCCAATTTCCTTTTCTTAATCAGTCACAGGCATTCTAAATTGCTAAGAGAAAAAGTGAGTGAATTGCAACTAAAAAGTCATAGTTACCTTCTGTTCCATCACTAGCTTCCGTAGTCTGGATGAATTCATTTTCTAGCAGCCACATTACACAACCCTCAATCGCTCCTAGTTGATCAGGATCTTGATTTTTCTGAATTCCCTGCTTTCCTTCTCTCATGCTTGCAGCCAAAAATGTGCAGGAAGCATAAGTCTGCATATCTTGTGATGTACTCGCCACTCCACCAACTATTATCTGATACAAGAGGTTTGAAATTTTTCTGTAATTTTTGTAAAGATTTTATTTATTTATTTTTAGAGAGAGGGGAAGGGAGGGAGAAAAAGAAACATCGATGTAAGGGAGAAACATCAATTGGTTGCAACTCATACATGCCTCAAGCATGAACCAAACCCGCCACCTAGGCATGTGCCCTGACCAGGAATCAAACCAGCAACTTTTTGGTGCACAGGATAATGCCCAACCAATTAAACCATACTGATCAGGGCTTTTTTGTAACTTTTTTAAAAAAAAGATTTATGTTTTAGAGAGAAGGGAAGGGAGATAGAAAGAAAGGGAAAGAAACTATGAAGTTGAAACCTGGCCCATAATCCATGCACGTGCCCTGACTGAGAATAAAACCAGAGACCTTTTGGTTTACAGGCTGGTGCTCAACCCACTGATCCACACTGGCCAGGGCTCTAAGACATGTAGGCCCTCATGATATAAAAGAAATGAAGTGATTTTTTAAAGATTTTTTTATTTAGTTAGTTTTAGAGAAAGAGAAAGGGAGGGAGAAAGAGAGGGAAAGAAACATCAGTGTGTGGTTGCCTCTCACATGCCCCCACTGGGGACCTGGCCCACAACCTAGGCATGTGCCCTGACTGGGAATCGAACCAGCAGCCCATTGGTTTGCAGGCCAGCACTCAATCCACTGAGCTACACCAGCCAGGATAGAAATGAAGTAATTTTGTTCTCTTAAAATAGTCTCACCATCTTCATGTAGAGACTGTTTGTTTACTCTTCCATCATAATTCATTATAAATGTACTCAACATCTCTTGAAAACATGAAAAGTTTTCCTGAAAAGTAGATGTAATATTTTCTCATCAGTTAAAATTCCAAGAAATAACTATATAAAATAGGAGAGATTCAGATTTGGGGAGTTTGTAAATAACCTCATAAAGAAATACAAGCGAAGATTTTTCACATACTAAAGCACTACCATTGTATTATAGGTAAAAAGAGCCAGTGGTAACTTAGTGAACATTCTTACCTCCAGAATAGCTCTTATCATGCTCGCAGTTACTTCTTCTCCTTCTCGTTTTCGAAGACAGCTGCGAACAGGTTTTAGAGATCCCTGAAGTAAAGCTATGCCTTTTGATTTCTCAGAGTTCTTACAAATCAAGATACTCTCACCTATAACAAAAAAATAATAATAATAATAATAATGTTTGCTAAATCCCAGCACATTTCTGTAAGATACTGGCTACAAAGAACTTAATTGGCTTACTTAATTTCAAGGAAATAATAGATGATAGTGATGTTATAATCATAGAATTATTGCTAATGTTTTTCTTTGTCTTTTTTTTTATCCTCACATGAGGACATGCTTATTGATTTTGGAGGGGAGGAGGGGAGGCAGGGAGGAAGGAAGGGAAGAAGGGAGAGAAAGAAACACTGATGTGAGAGAAACACTGACTGGTCCCCAGTTGGGGCACATAGGAAAGGCAACTGATCAATGTTTCTTTTGGGGTATTGTTCTCAGGCACCCCCCAACCAGGGACTGAACCCACAACCCAGGCATGTTCCTTCACCTTGTAAACCTGTGACCTTTCAGTTAACAGGATGACGCTCTAACCAATGAGCTACACCAGCTAGGACTCTAATGTTTTTATTTTTTAAATTTTAGATTGAAGGAGATCAGAATATGTATGCCACACTAAAATATGTTACTTTGTTGACTTCCAGCCAAGATGGAGGTGTAGGTAGACACACTGTGGCTCCTTGCACAACAAAAAGAAGGACAAAAACAAATTTAAAAACAAAAAACAACCAGAACTGCCAGAAAATTGAACTGTGTGGAACTCCAACAACCAAGGAGGTAAAGAAAAAAATATTTACCCAGACTGGTAGGGAGGGTGGAGACCAGCAGCCAGGGCAGAAGGGATTCAGGGCAAGGTGTGGCTGGAGGACCAGGTTGGTGCAGCAGCAGCTGCTGGTCCCACATTTGCATGTAGATAAATCAGTAGGAACAAGTCGGAAGTGAGACAGACTGAACAACCCAGGGTTTGAGCACAGGAAACTAAAAGACTCAAAAACTTCTGGCTATAAAAATTTGTAGGGGTTACAATGGTGGGAGAAACTCCCAGTCTCACAAAAGAGAGGCCCACAGGACCCTGGAATGTACACAAACCCACCCACCCAGGAATCAGCACATGGAAGGGCACAATCTGCTTGTGGGAAACACGGGAAGTGACAGACAGTGGGGTGAGAGCCAAGCAAGCGGCATTGTTTGCTCTGACTCCACCCCAACAGAAAGCACCACAACACAGCAGAGAGGGTTGCCCTGCCTAGTGAATACCTAAGACCCTGCCCCCCCACAATATAAAAGTTGTGCCAAGACAAAGAAATATGGCACAAATGAAAGAACAGATCAAAACTCCAGAGAAAGAACTAAGTGATGAGAAGATAGACAACCTATGTGATACAGAGTTCAAAACACTGGTAATCAGGATACTCACAGAAATGGTTGAGTCCAGTTGCAAAATGAAGGAATAAATGAAGGCTATACAAAGTAAGCTATACAAAATAAAGGCTATACAAAATAAAGAAAAATATACAGGGAACCAACAATGAAGGAAGGAAACAAGGACTCAAATCAATGATTTAGAACAAAAGAAAGAAAGAAACATCCAACTAGAACAGAATGAAGAAACATGAATTCAAAAAAAAAAATGAGGAGAGGCTGAGGAACCTCTGGGAAAACTTTAAATGTTTAAACATCTGAATCACAGGTTGCCAGGAGGAGAACAGAAAGAGCAAGAAATTAAAAGTTTACTTAAACAAATAATAAAGGAGAACTTCCCTAATCTGGCAAAGAAGATAGACATTCAGGAAGCCCAGGAAGCTCAGAGAGTCCCAAAGAAGTTGGACCCAAGAAAGCACACACCAAGGCACATCATCATTACATTACCCAAGATTAAAGAGAATGAGAGAATCTTAAAAGCAGCAAGAGAAAAGGAGACAGTTACCTACAAAGGAGTGCCCATAAGACTCAGCTGACTTCTCAAAAGAGACCTTACAGGCAAGAAGGAGCTGGAAAGAAGTATTCCAAGTCATGAAAGGCAAGAACCTAGATCTAAGATTATTCTATCCAGCAAAGCTATCATTTAGAATGGAAAGGCAAATAAAGTGCTTCCCAGATAAGGTCAAGTTAAAGGAGTTCTCTTTATCAAGCCCTTATTATATGAAATGTTAAAGGGAAAGACAAAGATCAGTAAACTATAAACAGTAAAATGACAACAAACTCAGAACTATCAACAACTGAACCCAAAAAGAAAAAAACTAAGCAAACTAGAAGAGGAACAGAATAACAGAAATGGAGATCGAATGTGGGGTTATCAGTGGGGAGGGAAAAGGGGGGAAAAGGGGAAACGGTACAGGGAACAAGAAGCATAAATGGTAGGTACAAACTAGACAGGGGGAGGTTAAGAATAGTATGGGAAATGGAGAAGCCAAAGAGCTTATATGTGTGACCCATGGACATAAAATAGGGGTGGGGGTAATGCAGGTGGGAGTGGGGGTGCAGGGTGGAGAGGAATAAAAGGGAGAAAAAATGGGACAACTGTAATAATATAATCAATAAAATATACTTTAAAAATAAAGTATGTCACACTCTCCATATTAAAGATTATTTTGACTTTAATGCAACTGGTAAGTAGAAACACAGAAAAAAGCTCTTTACCCTCTTCTATTTACCTAGCAGCATGTAAGGGGATGGGAGGGAGAAAGAGGAGAGAAACGTTAATGTGTGGTTGCCTCACACACATCCCCTACTAGGCACTTGGCCTGCAATGCAGGCATGTGCTGTAAACCCAGAAATCAAACTAGAGACCCTTTGATTCACAAGCCAGCATTCAATCCGTTGAGCCACTCCTGCCAGGGCTATAAATTTCTTTTTGATCACTTTGAAATTATATAATTATTTCATCACTATGCTGTCACCTGAAACTAACATAAATAATATTGACTGTCAACTGTAACTGAAAAATAAATTTGTTTAAAATTTTTTAAATACTTAATTTTATTAAATAATAATGGCCATTCTGACTGGTGTATAGTGGTATCCCATTGCAATTTTAATTTGCATCTCTCTGATGGCTAGAAATGCTGAGCATCCTTTCATGTCTCTGGGCCCTCTGTACGCCCTCCTTGGAGAAGTGTCTGTTCAGGTGATTTGCCATTTTTAATTGCATTGTTAGTGTTTCTGGTATGAGTTCTTTATATATTTTGGAGATCAAACCCTTGTCTGAGATATCACTGGCAAATGGAAGATGGGGAGAGGGTAATGGAGGAAAATGAACAATAAATTAAAAAAGGAAAAAAATTCTAAAAGTAAAATAAAACCACTAAGTGTCATTTGGGTACTGGCCACACAGCTAAAGATTATATTCCCCAACATCCCTTGCAGGTGGGAAATGTAACCATGTGACTGAGTTCTGGCCAATATGTGAGGAGAATACTACTATGTGCAAGTTCTTAAAAGGGCAGGGTGTGTAAAAACTCTTCCTCACCCCCCCTTCTGGATGACTAAAATGCAGATGTTACGGCAGGGACTGCTAAGTACTCATCTTATACCACTGGACTGAAACTGTATTACTGAGCATGGAAAACAAACCAGAAGACTAGGCTCCTGACACTGAAGTCACTATTACCAGCCCTGGGAACTTAAACTATACTGTTATGTGAGAAAAAATGAACTTCAACCTTGTTCAAGCATCTGTTATGTTGGCTGTCAATTCTTATTATTTGTGACAGTTCTGTTCCACAGTCGCCACAAACACTGGATTAGGGGTACCAAACCACTGCTCACTGGGGAAATACCGGGCTGGCTTTCTCCAAGCCCCGAGGCTCAACATTTTCTTTTTTTTTTTTTTCTTTTTTTTTCTTTTTTTTTTAATATTAAATTTTATTTAGTTACTTTTCAAGTACATTTTTTTTTATCTATTTCTCCCATCCCACCCCACACCCCCGCCCGGTCTCCCCCCTCCCTCCCATTCCCCCCCCCCCCAGTCCTCATCTCTGTGTCTTTCATACTTGTTCCTCAAAATCCCTCCCCCTTTTTCCCCTTAAGTTCCCTTCCCTCTCCCCTCTGGTCGCTGCCCACTTGTTCTCTATTTCAGCGTCTTTGTTTTTATTCTGTTTGCTTGTTTGTTTTATTCTTTAGCTTCCTGTCAAAGGTGAGATCATATGGTATTTGTCCTTCAATGCCTGGCCTATTTTCAACATAATCTTGTTTTAAATGTGTTTCTGTTTAAAGAGACCTTATTTCTTATATGTTATTGATTTATTAACATTAAACTCACAGCCAATAGTACCGTGTCTCATGGCTGAACAAAGCTTATTTAACACCTTTATTTTCTCTACAGGGTACATCACAGCCTCCTTGCACTTAGTAATACTATATAGACGATAACTGCACTTCAGCACTATGCTTAGGGTCACTTTAAACAGTTAATCACCAAAAATATTAAAATGTGACAATAAATAGACCCAGAAAAGGATGCCTATTTGCAACATGAGAGCCAAAACAAAAAGATAAATCACGTGCGCTTCCAGAGTCACAAATTTGTCACTGCCCTGCACATGCCTACAGAGGCCCACAAATGTTGACCTGGGGGTTTGAGTAATTTTGTAAATAAGCATTTTCATAAATATAGGATCCACAAATAAGAAGGATCGACTGTATTTACGGACCCCACGTGACTAGTGAAGTTATTCTAAAAGTCACTTCCTCAGTGTACTACCCAGCTTTTTGTGCCCAGAACATCACACCTCTTTTCCCATTAAACTTCCCTTCTTCTCCTGGATACCCAAATTCCTCTTCCACAGCCACAGAACTGTTTGCCTATTTATTTGACATACAGTATAATATTGGAGTCACTAAACTACATACTAAAGAAAAAAGATAAGTAACAGAGAATGTTCCTCCAAAATTTCTTTAATGTTAGACGACTCATAACAATTCAGTCACACTCAAACAATGTAGGAGGTTAGAATATAAACAATGCTCTACTGATATTTAATTCAAACAAGCTTCTTCTTCATTACTTAAGACAACACTTCTGTTTGAACTGCTGGTAACATTATCATTACCTACTGATACAAGGTAAGAAGCTAAAAAGGTTTTTAGAGCCAGAACCAATTCAGAGGGGAAAAGGTGGTGTGTAAAGTTCCTCCTGCTCCCACAGTGCGAGAGTGCTTCCCTGCCCTCAGCACCCGGTTTCAACTCTTAGACCAGTCACCTAACAGAACTGATACCCATGCAAATTACTACCTTCATTAGCACTAACTGGTAGACTATACTGGAACTTGAAAATCATATTCCAGCTAATGTGACAAGTCATCTTGATTAACATAATACTGAATCATTTTACTGTACATAATACAAAGGAAAATCTTAATTCTACATTAATAGAAAATCAATGGTGGACAACATATGAAAAATAACTTACATTATAAGTATTAAGTACATCCAAAAAGAGGACTTTAGTGCTTTGGATAACAAACACAACATGATAAAATATGGGTTGTAAGGGACTAGTCAAATTTCAAGTAGAATGACACTCTCATTGAGCAATGCCATTTAAATGAAACTCAAACTCACCTACTGTGTCCACTCCTTTCCTACCAGCACGACCAACCATCTGCTTATAGGTAAGAACATCTAGAGGCCGACCGCTGAAAACAGGAGTCCGAATAATTACACGACGTGCAGGCAAATTCACCCCGGACGAAAGAGTGGAAGTTGCTGCCAAGACCCGAATCTGACCTTGACGGAAGGCTCTTTCAATGATATCCCTCTCCTCAAAAGTAAGACCTAAAACAAAGTTACAATGACATACACAGAGGGCCCTTAAGCAACATAGGGGTTACGGGCACAGGCCCCCCGCACAGTGAAAAATCTGTGTATAACTTTTGACTCCCCCCACATTCCTACTACTGACTAAAAGCCTTACAAATAATGCAATCAATTAACACATATTTTATATATGTTATATGTATTACATGCTGTATTCTTACAATAAAGTAAGCTAGAGAAAAGAAAATGTTATTAAGAAAATCACAAGGAAGAGAAACACATTTACAGAACTGTACTATATTGATAACATAAGTTTATGTATCGTTTACAAGGTGAATTGTCTGTCAGTACTTACATCAATATGGTCTTATATGATATAAAACACTATAGATATTATCTGTATTACTAACACTAGACATCAATAATGGAAGATGTGAAAAGGAAGTTCACATTTATTTACAAGTATAATGACGCATGCTTGGATAATGAAGCGTCAGCAATGCAACTGCTTGCTGGCAGTCGAGAGCAATCGATATGGCTGCTTCATGACAGCCTAGCACACACACTGATAAATGAACTGTTATAAAATGTTTATGGCATACAGTAACAGTCATATTCATAACATAGTATTTGAAAGCACTGTTACAGTTTTTTAAAAATCACTTACCTGTGATGATAGGCTGATACACAGAGGCATATTGTATAGTAATTTTTGAAAGCAGTTATACAACAGTAGGAAAACTAACACATTATTAATTTTATAGTAAATATCACTCACCTGATGCCTGTGTAAGGACAGGCTACCATTCTGGTACAAGGCTTGCTCATGATGTTCTACTTACACAGTGATGATGATGCAAAAACGCCCCACACAGTTCCTGCCATACAGTCAGTATATTTCCACATGAATTGCTTCTTGGCCTTTTGGCTGAGAGCAAGCGTAGGTGTATTTTCACATGAAGACACACACATACACAACAGAAAAGTTTATTAACTGTACAGCAGGATGATTATTTACTAGTCATTACGTGGAAATGGATCATCATGAAAGTTTTTGAGTCAGATGAGGAGGAGGAAAAGAAGGAAGGGTGGCTCTGTTGTCTCAGGGGTCACAGAGGTGGAAGGGGAGGGAGAACAGGCAGGCACACTCAGTGTAACTTTACAGAAACACACTGTAATTTCTGTCTGGCTTCTTTGTTTTCTCATTGCTCTAAAAATGCTCCTATATAGGACCAATCCTTCTCCACTGTTTGCTTAGATTCAGTGCCCACCTCACAGAAAGGTCCATGCTGTAAAAGGAATCAAAAGCAGTCTTGAATCATAGGAACCCTTCTGCCAGATTTTCTAACATCCGGTTGTTTTCTGGTACTGCTCTTTTATGTCTTCTTCTTCATCTTCTGGCAGGGTTCAGAAGCATTCATCTACATCAGATTTTCTTCTTCAAGACCTGTGTCTTAAAACCCTTCACCATTCTACACACACACACACACACACGCGCGCGCACACACCCCTTTTTTGCCATATTCACAAGCTCCTTTATAGTCTCCTTGATTGGCTCCGTCATAAATCCTGTGGAGCCCTGAACAACATCTGGACATAGTTTTCTTCAGCAGGAAATTATTGTTTCAAGTTTGATGCCTTTCATGGCTTTTTCTGAAACAACGGCCTCTTCAATGGTGTGATCCTTCCAGACTCATGATGTTCTATGAGAATCCTACTTCCACAATGTTGACAATCTTTTCCATAGAGCACCATGTGGACCTTATAGGTCCTGTGACCCCTAATCTAGACTGAAGCACAGACAATGTGCTCAGGGTCAAGGAGACCATTTCAAGGCACTCACTGTAGAACTCAAGAGTGTCTGGGTGGCCAGGGACATTGTCCAATACCAACAGAACTTTAAAAGGCAGTTCCTTACTGGCAAGGTACTTCTTGACTTCAGAGATAAAGCATCGATGAAACAAGTCCCCAATAAGTGTTCTCACTATCCATGTCTTCTTGTACAGCCAAAAGCCTGGCAGCTGGTCAGTCCTGATCATAAACCCAACTGCATTTGCACAGAACTATACAGTTACCTTATTCCTTCCTATCTTAAATCCTGGTGCTCATTTTCTTCCCTACTTATAAATGTCTTTTGTGGCATTCTTTTCTAAAAAAGGACATTTTCATCTGCATTAAAAACCTGTTCAGACAGACATCCTTTCTCCTCAGTAATTTTCTTAACGGTGTCTGGACAGCAGAAGCTGCTTCTCCTGTTGACATTTTTTAAGCCGAAACTCTTTCTAAAATTATTAAGCCTTACTTTGCTAGCATTAAATTCTCTAGCTTTAAATCCTTTACCTTCCTTTTGCTTTAAGTTGTCATATAATTTTATTTTTCCTTAAATCATATTAGAGTCTACAGATACATCTTTCATAGAGCAATCCAACACCCACATAAACGCTGCATTTTCAATACAAGGTAAAAAGTTAATTCACAAAAAGTGTAAGGTTTTCATGCCTGCTGGTATAGCTGCTGTGAAGGATTCATGGATTTCCTTTTCTTTTTTAACAACAGTCCTTCCACTGGATTTATTTATCTTGAAATGGTGGGCAACCACAGCTGCAGACATCAAACTACAGTACAGACCAAGCAATTCAACTCAGTCTCGTTGAATGTCGTGACTTTTCTCTGTTTCTCAGGAGCCTTCCAGCACCACCAGTGGCCCTCGGTTCGGGTCCCACAGTGTTATCTAAGCTTTACGGTGCTGCACTAAATATAGTGAAACATACGTAAGAACTGCAAGAGATCTCTTTTTACTGTAACGTTCAATTTGCTGAAGAGACAAACTGCTCCCAAGATGATTAGTGCCACAGAGCATTTTAAGTGCTTCTTGAAATGCTTGAATGGGTAACTGCAAAATTATTACAGTGGTATGATATACATTGCAGTCGATTTTATGCAGGTATGATTTAATACTATATCTTTACATTTGTTTAATTTCTCTCCACTCTATATGGCATCATGTGTGATCTATAACTGTTTCCACACATAAGTTTTAACAAATTTTAACTTTTAATAATAGATCTGTATATATTTCATGACTTAACTAGACCAAGACCATTTTCTATGGTATTAAAATAGACTAATATCTATATATATTTTATGCATTCATGGCATACCTAATTTTTTACAAATATTTCTAAGCTACACAGTTCATCCATGAGTTTTTCAAATTGTTGTAAAATTCCCAAAATTTTTCCAATTGTTTATTGGAAAAAATCTGCATGTAAATGGGCCCACACCATTCAAACCCATGTTGTTCAAGGGTCCACTGTGTACATATATGTGTGCATATATGTGTGCACATATATTTATAAACTTATTTCTATACAGCATGAGAAAAGTTTTAAAATAAATTGAAAAGGTTAAATTCCTAATCTTAGAAACTATTCTAAGCATATGATAAAAAAACTAGTTTCTTAATCATATGCTTAATACATATGATCATGGGAAAACTACTTCCTGAAATTATATAATTCAGTGACTATCAAAATCCTTGCAATTTTGACAACCTAGTTGATTTTTAAACATTCTACCCCTCTCAAAATGCAATATGACAATTTCTAAAACTAGTTTGATTTTCATATTCATGTAACAATATTTCAATACACCTCGAGATAAAGGGAGACACTCAGAATGGCATAAAATTGGGTTAGCAAATACAGTACTTCCTCTTATCTGCAATTTTGCTTTCCATGGTTTCAGTTGCCTGCAGTTAACTGTGATCTAGAACTATTAAATGGGAAATAAATAATTCTGAAGTTTTGTTGTTACTGTTGTTTTTAAGATTTTTATTTATTTATTTTTAGAGAGAGGGGAAGGGAAGGAGAAAGAGAGGGAGAGAAACATTAATGTGTGGTTGTCTCTTGCATCCCCCTACTGGGGACCTGGCCCTCAATCCAGGCTTGTGCCCTGACTAGGAATTGAACGGGTGACTCTTTGGTTCACAGGACCTCACTCAATTCACTGAGCCACACCAGCCAGGACAATTCTGAAGTTTTTAATTTTACGCTGCTCTGAGTAGCATGACAAAACCTCACCGTCCTCTCCCATCTGCCTGGGATGTGAATCACCCCTTTGTCCAGCATATCTGCACACATGCCCTTCCTAACCGTTGGTCACTAAGTGGCCATTTCAGTAATCAGATCGATTCCTGGTGTTGCAATGCTGATGTTCAAGTAATACTTATTTTACTTAGTAATAGTCCCACAGTGCACGATTATTAATGGCGATCTGGATATGCCAAAGAGAAGCCACAAAGTGCTTCCTTTAAGTGAAAAGGTGGAAGTTCTCTACTTAATAGGAAAAAAACTGTGCATTCATGCACTGCATAAAAACATTTCAGTTCGATGACAGGCCGCATATATGGTGGTGGTTCCATAAGACTGTAATGAAGCTGAAAAATTCCTATTGCCTAGTGACGTCATAGCACAATGGATTACTCACATGTTTGTGGTTATGCTGGTGTAAGAAAACCTATGGAACTGCCAGCCACACAAAAGTACTACACATACAATTGTGTACAGTTCATAATACTTGATAATGATAATAAATGACTGTTACTGGTTTACATATTTACTCTGCTATACTTTTTATTGTATTTTAGAATATACTCTTTCTACTTATAAAAGAAGTTTACTATAAAACAGTATGCCAAGTTACTCCAACAAGAGCCTCATGTATCTTGTGCTTATTGGATCTCCTGATCGCATCATTTTCTCTTGTGCTTGAGTTGATCTCATGTTGTTTTATAAATTTTGTGCAGCCCAAGTTTAAAGTGTTAATAAGTCTACAGAAATGTACTGTAATATTCTAGGCCTTCACATTAACTCAGCATTTGGTCACTGATTCACCCAGAGCAACTCGCAAGCCTGTAAACTACATTCGTGGTAATGGTGCACCAGTTTTTATCTCTTATATTGTACCTTTTCTGTTTAGATACATTTAGATACAAAACCTACCATTGTGTTACAATTACCTACAGTGGTCAGTACAGTAACATGCTGTATATATGTTTATAGCCTAGGAACAATAGGCTATACCATATAGCCTAGGTAAATAGTAGACTATATCACCTAGGTTTGTGTAAGCATACTCTGTGATGTTTGCAGAACAAAATTGCCTAATGACACATTTCTCAGACCATATTCCCATCATTAAGCAGTGCATAACCATATGCTGAGGTTGCTAAGTTTTACAGTAAGAATGAATCTTCTATCATGAAATTGTAAAGAAAGGAAAAGAAATGCATGCTAGTTTTGCTGTCACCGTTCAAACTGCAAAAGTTACGGACACAGTAGGTGGTAAGTACTTAGTTAAGATGAAAAAGGCATTACATTTGTAGATAGAAGAATAGAAAATGTGCTCTGGTTAATGGCAATGTGTTGCACCAGAAAATACGGAGCCTAATATGAAGACTTCAGCAAAGAATACCTGAAATAAGTGACACCCAGCCACTGACTGCAAGCAAGGTTTACTTATAGAGTAAATTGCTAAGTAAATTTACTTTTCTGTATAGTAAACCTAAACATGTTTGTATTACTTGTGTTTAATCTTAATCACACAATTTCTTAAACTGAAATCTAAGAGTATTAAGTGTGGTTAACAAGAAATCAAATGCATGTAAATACAAAAATATAGAAATTGTGAGGATTTTTGGTAAGGACTCCTTATTGACATTATAAATATGGATACCTGCATGATGAAACGCTACTCCCCATCGTACAGTTTTTTTTAATACGGAGTCCAGTCCGGAAGGCGAATGTTTCAGCTGATCAATCACGTCTAGGAGGCCCTTTTGTTCCAGCATCACTGGTGAAAGTTCAGGTGATCTTTCCAATCCTGTCACACAAAAACAGTTAACACTGTTCACCGCCATCTGAACCTCTTTAAGTGTTATCTGCCTATTCATTACAAAGCTAAACACTAGGACAATGATTCCAAAACCACTACCTATACTATCACCTTTACGCCTTTTATAAATACTGATGACCGTCTCTCACCCCTGGACTTCGTGATGAATAGCATGCAATGTGGGCATAAGGAATTTTACAGTCTCCCCAGACAATTCTAAAGTGTTCAGAGTTTCGGAACATTGTATTAGAGCTACACAAAGCCCACAGGAGGGGACTCCCAGAACCAGCTGGAAGAAGATTATATATGAGTAGAATGACTACACACAGAGCCTAAAAATCAAAATCCTTGCTGAGAGCATGTCCCACCAACAATGTCAGAATCACCTAGGAGCCTAATTTTATGTGACAATTTTTCTGGCCTCTTTGGCACCAATATGGTAATCATATCACCTTCTGTTTTTACCTCTCTGTGTAAACCTCTCCTCCAGTAAGACCTTAACTAACTGCAGGAACTATGTTTTCTTAAATAATTTTCCAGAGTCTTGGATTTCTTTTTCTTTTTTTAATGGTTTTTTTGAATTTTTTTTTCTTTCTTTAAGATTTTATTTATCTTTAGAGGGGAACGGGAGGAGAAGAGAAAATATCAATGTATGGTGGCCTCTCATGGGTCCCCTGCTTGTCCCCTGGCCTGCAACCCAGGCATGTGCCCTGTCTGGGAATCGAACCATGATCCTCTGGTTCACAGGCCCACGCTCAGTCCATTGAGCTACACCAGCCAGGGCTTGGATTTCTTTTTTAAAAAATATATTTCATTGATTATGCTATAACGGCTGTCCCATTTCCCCCCTTCACTCCCCTCCACCCTGCACACCCCCTCCCACACACATTCTCCTGCTTTAGTTCATGTCCATGGGTCATAAGTTCTTTAGCTTCTACATTTCCCACACTATTCTTGCCCTCCCCGTCTATTTTCTACCTACCGTCTATGCTACTTATTCTCTGTACCTTCTCCCCCCTTCTCGCCCTCCCACTCCCCTGTTGCTAACCCTCCATGTGATCTCCATTTCTGTAATTCTATTCCTGTTCTAGTTAATTTTTTTCTTTTGTTTTAGATGTGGTTGTTAATAATTGAGTTTGCTGTCATTTTACTGTACATGTTTTTTATCTTATTTTTCTGATAAGTCCTTTTAACATTTCATATAATAATGACTTGGTAATGATGAACTTCTTGAACTTGACCTTATCTGAGAAGTACTTTATCTGCCCTCCATTCTAAATGAGAGCTTTACTGGATAGAGCAATCTTGGATGTAGGTCCTTGCCTTTCATGACTTGGAATACTCCTTTCCAGCCCCTTCTTGCCTGTAAGGTCTCTTGAAAAATCAGCTGGTAGTCTGATGGGAACTCCTTTGTGGGTAACTGTCTCCTTTTCTCTTGCTGTTCTAAGATTCTCTCCTTCATTTTAATCTTGACTAATATAATTATGATGTGCCTTGGTGTGTTCCTCCTTGGGTCCACCTTCTTTGGGACTCTCGGAGCTTCCTGGACTTCCTGGAAGTCTATTTCCTTTGCCAGATTGGGGATGTTCTCCTTCATTATTTGTTCAAGTAAGTTTTAAATTTCTTGGTTTTCCTCTTCTCCTTCTGGTACTCCTATAATTCAGATGTTGGAATGTTTAAAGGTGTCCTGGAGGTTCCTAAGCCTCTCCTTATTTTTTTGAATTCTTGTCTCTTCATTCTTTTCTGGTTGGATGTTTCTTTCTTCCTTCTGGTCCACACTGTTGATTTGAGTTCCAGTTTCCTTCCCATCACTATTGGTTCCCTGTACATTTTCCTTTATTTCACTTAGCATAGACTTCATTTTTTCATCTAATTTGCAACCAAATTCAACCAATTCTGTGAGCATTCTGATTACCAGTGTTTTGAACTGTGCATCTGATAGGTTGGCTATATCTTAGTTGTATTTATTCTGGATCTTTGATCTGTTTTTCCTTTTGGGCCAATTTTTTGTCTTGATGTGCCTGTTACATAATGAGGGGTGGAGACTTAAATTTTCACCAGGGAGAGGCAACCCAATTGCTGGGTTGTGACACTGTATGTGGGGGAGGGTCTGAGAGGGAACAATGATGCTTGCTCTGCTGTCAGATTTCAGTCACTTACCCTACCTCTTGCAAGCAAATTGTGCTCTTCTTGTGCCAATTCCCAGGTGGGTGGACTTGTGTACGTTCTAGGGCCCTGTGGGTCTCTCCAACAAACTCTCCTGTGAGGCTGGGAGTTTCTCCCAGCACCTCAACACCCACAGGTGTTTTCCATTGGTGTTTCAAGGCTTTATTTCCCTGTGCTGGGGCAGTAGGTTACCCGGTCTGTCTCACTCCCCAGTTTCACCTGGTTTATCTGCATGCAAATGTGGG